GTCTCAAAGTGGGTTCCTCGTCATCGGATTCGAATGTGACCTCTTTGTTCCATATCTGTGTCAGTGTAAACTACTTGTACCTGATGATGACAAAACCTTGTCGAAACGTTGTACATTTGCTGTTATGTCAAACTTATATTAAAGTTTTTCTTTATTACCCATTCAAGCCGTCTCCAACCATTATTAGTCTCAAAGTGGGTTTCTCGTCATTGAATTTGGACTTATTGGTTTATTCACCTACGATTCAGTTACCATTTATTTTATCGATCGATTAGTGATGAAATTCTATAAGTAAGTTTATAAGTTAGGGGTACATTCCGTCTAAACTTTTGTTAGGCCTACAAGTGAACGTAACCTATACCAAACGTTATTGAAAAATTATAATTAACGTGCTTGTTTGTAATTAAGCACAAAGCTACACAATGGGCTATCTGTGCTCTGCCCACCACGGGTATCGAAACCCGGTTTCTAGCGTTGTAAGTCCGCAGACATACCGCTGTGCCACTGGGGGGCGTTATTGAAAAAAAAATTCGTTATCGTCACGTAGACTGGACTGAGCGTGCCAGTCCTATCCATGATTCAGTTCGTCGACAGGAAAGGTAACCGTATATCGCAACGTCACAAGATGTATTTCATGTAAGAAAATATAACAAATTGTTAATTACTGAATTCATGCGCTGTGTGCACTGCAGAAAGGGGAAAGCTGAATGGTTTACTTGAGCGACACCATCCAAAATGAACTGAAAGATAAATTAACCTGTTAACAAACCTTTTTAGATTTTAAAATTTTCAACTTTATCTTTGTAATCACTGTTTAATTTTTTTTTTTTTTTTTTTAAACTTGATTTAACAATTTATAATTTCTGTGAATCAAAAGTTACACTTGATATCGTGGTGTTGTCATTTTGATCTAATTTATCTGTAATGCTGATGAATGTAAAGTTGGCTTACGTGAGTCCGTATCACTCGCTATCACCCATTCTTGATTGACGAAATTATTCGCAGCTACATTTTTTAGTTGCGGCTCATAGAATGACTCTGAATATTTTTAAGTACAGACTTTTAGCTCGTAGCTCCGTCATTACTTGGCCGATTTGAAATCTAGTTACAGTTTACTCTAATCTTAACTAAAATAACTTCAAGGCTATTAGAGATCCTTTTGAGTAATAAAATCGAATCGGATATACGCGCGCGCCTCACGATTGGTATTGTTGGTGCACAAAAAATAAAAATGTCTCTTCTACTAGCCCCCCCCCCAGTGGCACAGCAGTATGTCTGAAATCTTGCAACGCTAGAAACCGGGTTTCGATACCCGTGGTGGGTAGAGCACAGATAGCCTTTGTGTAGCTTTGTGCATAATTAAAAACAAACAAA